TAGCTTTTCCTAGCCATTCAACTAGCTAAATCTCTTGCTCAAGCTTTCTTTTCTTATCCCTGAATGACATGCAGCATATGTATATGTATACTACCAAGTCTCAACTTGGTAGTATACTGTTGCTTTATTGATATCCACCTAGAAGGGCATTTTCTCAGTCTATTGTTTTGGTCTCTGTCTCAGTAGTTCACTTGTGCCTCCTGGATCATGTTGGATATAATGATGAGTACTTACCTTCAGTTTCTAGACCCCAGTCATCTACTGTTTCCACAGCATGTCTCACTAGGTTTTGAGAAGACCTCCTTTCTCTACTGGTGCATCTCTTGAGCCAGCCTCCATTGCCCTTTCATTTGGACATTTCACGTGCAACTTTATGCTTGTTCTCATGCTTCCATGAAATCTTTGCCATGGTTCTTCAGACACCTCCACCAGGAACAATGATGTCTTGAAAGGTGTACCATGCCTTTTATTATTACCAGTATTTCGTAGTCTGTTCAGTTTTTCTCCATGTGCCTAAATTTATCTTGCTTTTTTGCAGTTTTCTCAAGGAGTTTTGGCAAGGACTTCTCCTTTGTTCTGCTAGATCAGGGCTTGGCAGAGCAGATAAAGCTTTTAGGAGTTGTTATAGGAATAAACTAATAATGATTTTCAGGTAATGTCAACCAACTGTGCTCAGGAAGTGGAGAAAGGAGAGAGGGAAATGTCCTTGAAGATCAGAGGAGAGATTAGCGGTGATTTAAGAATGCATCAAAAGAAAGTGCCTTGTTACACAACGCCAACTGTGATAATGAATGTGTAATAAGGGCTTGGGAAAATCAGGAAGAGGGAGATGTGAAGGTAGGATCTGACCAGTGCATTGCTCCATCTCTTTTTTTCAGAGAGCTGATCATCTGGAATGACAGCTGTCACCATACTTAAAAGGCAATGTCAAAGACCAGATAAATGTAGTTCTTCAAAGTTATCTCAGTGTTAAATGCACCGTGTTGCTATCCCTAAAAACCTGTGAGCTGGTCAGAATAGCTATAATGCCTGGAATAACTTGGAGCATTTAGTGCGGAGCTAAGTGGTGATGGCGGGGGGTCAGGTCAGGCAGCATGCTTAGGTCCCAGGGGAGAAGAGTGATGGGCTGATGGCCAACATCCTTGTGATGAATCCAGGGATTAGAGATGATAAATATCACAAAGCAAAGTCTTAGAGGCTGTGCCCTGTTTCCCCGGGCACCCACGGCTAGGCTTTTCTTCCACCTGCATGGTAACACAAATCTCAGAAAGTGCAGGGCTAATTACTTGGTTCACTGATAACTCTCATTTATACATAACGTTCTCTCCCACAGGGAGTCTAAAGTAGCTTGCAACTGCTAGCTCTGCCACAGTGCAGCTTGAACTGGAGGTGAGAGAGGCAGAAAGTGCACAGAACCCTGTTGGGGAGGTTTTGGAAGGAGTTATCCAAAGAAACATTTGAAAGTTGCATTTCTCAAGGGATTCTGGATTTCCAGGCAAAGCTACCACTCTGGTGTTCTATATGAATGGTCCACACACAGCAAATAGGGTGGGGTCCACTCACCCCTCGACCACTGATGGCTGTCAGCAGAATGGCACTAAGGATAAGGAAGAGGCTGAGGTTCTCAATGGCTTCTTTACATCTGACTTTAAAAGTCAGATCAGTTATCCTTGGGGTACTCTATCCCCTAACCTGAAAGCTTGGTATGGGGAGCAGAACAAAGCCCCTCCAATTCTGATGGAAACAGTTAGAAACCTATTACTCTACCTGAGGGTGCTGAGGGAGCTGGCAGAGGAGACAGCCAAGCCGCTTTCAGCTGTCTACCAATGTTCCTGGTCCACCAGAGGACTGGAGGTTTTTCGGTATGACTCCCATCTACAAAAAAGTTTGTAAGGAGGATCTGGGGAACTACAGGCCCGTCGGCCTGATCTTGGTGCCAGAGGAGGTTATGGAACAGATCATCTTGAGTGAAATCACATGGCATGTGTAGGACAACCAGGGAATCAGGCCCAGCCAGCATGGGTTCATGAAAGGCAGGTCCTGCTTGACCAGCCTGATCTTCAATGATCAAGTGACCCTCCTGATGGATTAAGGAAAGGCTGTCAACATAGTCTACCTAGACTTCAGCAAAACCTTTGACACCGTCTCCCACAGCATTCTCCTAGAAAAGCTGACAGCCTGTGGCTTAGACAGGTACGCTCTTTGCTAGATAAAGAACTGGCAGAAGGGCTGGACGAAGGGTGTGGAGGTGAATACATTTAAATACAGCTGGCAATCCATCCTGAGTGGTGTTCCCCAGGGGTTGGTACTTGGGCCTGTCCTATTTAGTATCTTTGTTGATGACCTGGACAAGGGGATTGAGTGCACCCTCAGTAAGTTTGCAGATGACATCAAGTTGGGTGCAAATGTGGATCTGCCTGAGGATAGGAAGGCCCCTACAGAGGGATCTGCACAGGCTGGGTAGCTGGGCTGAGGACAATGGGATGAAGTTAACGTGACCAATTGCCAGGTCCCATGCTTTGGCCACAGCAACCCCAGGCAATGGTATAGGCTTGGGGCAGAATGGCTGGAAGAAATATACCTGAGGGTGTTGGTTGATGCTTGGCTGAATGTGAGCCAGCACTGTGCCCAGGTGGCCAACAAGGCTGATGGCATCCTGGCTTATATCAGAAATAGTGCTGCCAGCAGGAGCATCCCTCTGTACTCAGTCCTATTGAGGACACACCTCGAGTATTGTGTTCAGTTTTGGGCTCCTCACTACAAGGTGTCCAGAGAAGAGCAACAGAGCTGTGAGGGGTCTGGAGCACAAGTCTTGTGGGGAGCAGCTGAGAGAACTGAATTTGTTCAGTCTGGAGAAGAGGAGGCTCAGGGGAGACCTCATCACTCCCTACAACCTGAAAGGAGGTTGTGGCAAGGCGGGGGTCAACCTCTTCTCCCATGTAACTAGTGATAGGACAAGAGGGAACAGTTGTGCTTGGGGAGGTTCAGGTTGGATATTAGGAACAGTTTCTTTTCCAGAATTGGAATGGGCTGCCCTGGGAGGAGGTGAAGTCACTATCCCCGGAGGTGTTCAAGAAATGTTTAGATGGAACATGGTTTAGTCTGGAAATATTGGAGGTTGGTGGATGGTTGGACTAGGTGATCTTAGAGGTCTTTTGCAGGCCTTCTGATTCTGTGAGTCTGGGATTCTATGAATGACATCCTTGTGTTTATGAGACATGCAAACAGTGCAAAAAGAGCAGTGTCCTCTCTCCCAAGTTAATATTTAGACAATGCTAATGCTACCTGTTTTTTTTGCTTGTTTGTTGCTGTTGTTTTGTTGGTTTGTTTTTCTTTTCATAAATACTTCTATTTTCATTGTTTTGTGTTTCCTGGAAAGCTTTGGGACTAAGCACTTCAAACAATTTAAGTACAGTGTTTAGCCCTTGCCTTACCATTCACTTTCTTGGCAGAGTTTGGCTTGCTGTTCCAGAGCATCTGATTACAGGATACGTATTTTCAGTTTTAATTCCTTGGTGTGTCTTTTCTCAAATTACCTCTTTCCTTGCCAGTGGTGGAGGTGAGGTCCACCACAAAGTAATGACTAGCACTGGCCACGTGCATACTTCTCCCTTCTTGCAGTCGCTCAGCCCCCACCCAGCGCCTGTGTGCCAAATGCCTGTGTGGTCTTAATAGTAGCTGAGACAAACACAGAGGCTCTCAGACCACTCTTATTTTTGTTACCTGCCTGCAGCTGGTGACATCCCACCAGCTCAATGTGTAAAGGCCTTGTATCAGCCTCACACACTGTTGGTGGCATAGCCACAGTGCCCTGAAAAACTCCAGCAGTTGATGCTGTGTCCAGTTAGTTCAAAACTGTGTTGCCGTGTCCTAACTGCACTTCTCTTTGTGTACGTGCTTGTTTGCTGCTTTAATTCCATTTATGCAACAAATACTGACTATGAAAGCAGGGAGGGCTTTGAAAGAGAGATCAACACCCTTTTCCTTTATGTATGTTTGTCCTTGCAATCCAACTGCTTGATTTATGGATATGACCCTTGCAGCTGTTGGTGAGGTATGGCAGCGGACTGCACTGTTGTGCAGCAGTGAGGAGTATAGTCTCCTGCAAGAGGAAAGAAGACCTTCTACAACCGAACTTTAGCACTAGGAATGGGATTTTTTGAAGGTAGAACTGCAATTGCCAAAAATATATCTACATCTCTCTTCAGAGTGGCTTCCAAGAATACAAGTGGGAAAGCAAGCAACTTACCATACCAACCTCCTTCCAGTTCTTGACAGTGCAAGGCAAACCCTTTGGCTTTGCTCAGTGAAAGATGGCAGTAAGCTTTCAGAAGTTGGTCTCTGCAGCCAGTTCTGCCAACATGCAATGCACGTTTCTGCCAGTCTAAATCTGTATCCTGTGCTGTGTCTCCCAAACGCTCTGGGGAGGAAATTAGTGATCACCATGGTACTGTTCTCGTGTGAAATCATCAAAGCCACTGTCCCCTTTTATACTTACTAAATGAATCCTTAGGGAAAAAGTCTTGAATTTGAAAGAGTGAAAAATCCTTTGTTCTTAGAAGTGTAATATCACCGCTCCAGGTATGTGATGACTGCAGGCAGCAGAAGGCTGGCTAAGCAGTACTTCTATAAGAAGGAATAAAATGGAGTCAATGAACGTTAGGTGTGTAGGACATGGCTCCCTGGCTGCTCTACCCAACACTTGTTTAATCTTGTTCTGCTAGGTGCTAACAGCTTTTGGCAGTGTGCAGTGATTAGTGCTCTGTGTCTTTCTGCACTGCTCCTCTGTGTATCCTGGGGCTAGCATTAGGTTACAGCCCCGAAACAGCACAGTTGTCTGCATTGACTGAGAGGTGAATAGGAAGGGCAGAGTGGTGTTGATGGACTGAAATGTCTTCTGTGTTTGTTTCTCTTCTCTGGAGGAGGGATGACATTATTTTCATTTGTACTCTCTCTGTCCCTGACCTAAACATGTGGTGTCCAATTTCTTTCCCTGGCAGGTGACCTGGAAAATGAGGACTGGTGTCTGGGTTCAGAACTGACTCCAGCAGCAATAAAGACTGAACCAGCGTTGTGCGAGACGTCAGGCCTTGCTCCCTCTGTCAGTCTCACTGTCACTGCCATGTCACTGGACGGGGAACAAGCTGAGCTGCATACTGATGCCCTGGTACGTGCAGGCTTTTTCTTCTCCTCTGTGCAATTAGATACAGATTCTCCTAGAACACTGCCTCCTCTGTGCCAAAGGTGTCGATTCAGGTTTCTCACCAAGGTCTCTGCTTTAACGTTTTCTGAGGCTTGCTGGTATTCCACTGCTGCTGTAGAATTTGTGTTTCAAAACTCATATCTGCATCTTTATGTCTTACTGGTTGGAAGCAGTTTTCTTTTATGAGAGACAACACAAAAGCCTGGAGCTGGTGCTTTTAAAAATTATTTAAACAGTCTCAAGTGAACCAGGCACAGCTGAAGTGACTCATTTGTACTGTGGAGTCTGTAACAAGCTGGGAGTCCATAATGACTTGCCTTAGCACTGCTCTGTCTTCCCCTAATCAGAATGAGACCCCATGACCGAAGAGTTTTCCTTTTTGCCTGCTAAATCACTTTTTGCCAGGTCTGTCAAGCTCTGACACTTTGAGGTGCTGCTGTTTCCATACCAACTTGCGAAGTAAGAACAATTTATGATGCCTTTCTGCCCATACCTGGAGCAGCCAGTGAGCATTCATGAGGGTTTTGTTTGACTGTGGTTGAATTCAAGAGTTTGAATGGCAGTAGCTGATGGTTCCCCCTCAGTGGAGGAAGTACTGTGACAGTTCTCAGTCCCTGGGGTGCAATTGGTCCGGGTGGAATTAGGCCATGTTGAAAATGAACATTCCCTCTTGGATGGGGATCAGAACTATATGCAACAGAAATTGTTTCATGAGAAACTGGGAAAACTAAAAACATTATTTTCCTATAGTTCTCTTGTAGTCTGCATATACTGTCCTTAGTAAGTGGTCCCATCACAGCTTGGGATGCTGTGATACTACAGAGAGTATCTTGGAACTAACTAGTGGCTCACTACCATTGCACAAATTAGTTACACTGTTTTTCTGGGAGAGATTTTGGCCACATTGAGCATGTCGAGGTGCCAGACTAACTTCCTCAAGCCTGGGATTGTAGAATTCAGGCAAACTGGACAGCAGCTTGGCATCCTGGTGAGCCAGCCTTGTCAACAAGCAAATCAGATGTCCTCTAAACATAATTCAGCCACAGCCATCTCTATTACAGTTCCTCTGCATGGTGAAACGAACTTGGGGTCAGTAACACAGTGCTCAGCTTCTCACTCCCAGATGACAGTGATCTCATATGGGTTCTCCCTGCTGCCAGGAGCATTGCTGACTGCTCAAACTGGCTGTGTAGTCCAGCAGATCCTAGTGGCAGCTCTGTTGCTAAGAGAAGTAATTTGAGTAGGTTGCTTGCTAGCTTTCAGTCTGAGATGTCATCTCTGAGACATAATCTTTTATTTAACTAAATACAGTAATAAAAAACGCCACAGCAGGATTAGTCAGGGCAATATTTTCTGTAGCCTGGCTGGGCAGCGTTTTCTGTAGCCTGGCTAAGCAGAACTGTGTGAAGCAGTTAAAGCTTTGCCTGCAGCAGAGTAGGAGAGGGAAATCTCTCTGTTTATGGAGTATTCATCCTTGTATCCTTCAATTAAGATCTGAAGATGTGTGCTTTGGGTTTTCATGCTCTTAATTTCTCTTTTCTAGATGAAACCACTGAGCCAGAAAGCTCTTCCAGAGATTAAATTGGAGCCTCATGAAGTGGATCAGTTTCTGAATCTCTCTTCTAAGGAAGGTCTGTTAATTACCTACCTACTATGCAAGGGAGATGACCAGAATGCACGATGAGTGTACTTTACCCTGATTAAATATTTGGCTTCCTTGTTTGCCGTGTTAATCCTTATGCTGAAGCTGTTGCCTTCCAGGATTTGAATAAGGCTGCTAAAAAGCCAATCTTTCTGATCTATTTATGTGGATTTTTTTTAAATTTGTTTTTGTCTTGCTCATCACAAAAAAAATTATCCCTGTTTTGTCTGTGACGTGTTAACAATTATGCAATTGCTGGAGGGAGCTTGAATCCTTAACGTAACAAGATTATTTAGGTTAGAAGAGATCTTAGAAGAGAAGATTTCTCTTCTAGCCTAAGATGGGACTTAACAAGGCATAGAAAATAAGTACAAGAGAAAACTTCACTAATTTAAATCTCTTTGCCTTAAGCAGCAAAAGAAAGCATGTGAGTTTATATGAAATTAAGTTAGAAGCATTTGATTTTAGTATATTTGTTTCAGTTCAGGTCTGAGAACCACCAGGGTCCCTTTGTACTATATAAATTAAGCAGTAGGAAGAGTGATGATCCCTTCACTTAGTGTAAAACACAGCTTTATGGCACATAATCTATTGACCTAAGAAAAGTTTGAAAGAGCCAAATATTTTGGCTGAAATTTAAGAAGATAACTGAATCTCAGTTAGGAATGCTCGATATTCTGTTAGTGAATTCATTTATATAGATAAATAGAACTGCTGAAGGGTTAGCAGCAACTGGCTTAGCAGGTAGGACAAAGGGAGTTTATCTCTTAACCTAAATGTAGATGAAATTGCTTGATTTGTGAGCTTAAGGAATTTACTGTCTTACAAGAGTAAGCAACTGCTAGAGTTAAGATGCTAGCCCAAAAGAGCTCGTGTATAATAGCTTTTGTTACTTTTTCTCCCTTCGTCCTCTACCACTTGATCTTTTCAACTCAAATTTGTCAAACCTAGAAGAATCCAGCCCTATGTCTTCCAACTGTAATTGCTGTAAATTTACCTTTAAAAAAAAAAAAAAACAACACAAAAAACGGATATCCAAAACAGCCATAATTAATTGCTCATGTAATCTGAGTAGGTGAGACACTGTGCTCTTTCTCTTGATCCGGTCCCATTTGGTCAGCTTGCCAGCTGTAGCACAGGTTCTCTTGACTGCCAGTGCAGTGCAAGTTTGCTTATGGCTGTGGATAGCAAAATGTTGAGAGAGCTTCTTTTGCTGCTCCTGGTCCAGTAAAGCCTTCACTGTCAAGAGGTTGTCATTATCAACCAGTTGTGTCAGAACAGATCCTTAGGGGATAAAATTTCTTTTTCTTTAACATATTATACGAACATTATCTTGTCTTGAAAAGTACTGGCAATGTGTTAAATCCATAGCAAGGCTGGGAAAGACTGTTGTTTTTGGAGAGAAGGCATGCTGTCTCAGAGCCCTCTCTGTTAATGTGGTTTCTCAAGCAGGGTATTTATGCTGGAGGCTTGTACTTAAATCTCAAGGCTTTTGGAGGTGTGGAAGTGTAGGCAGAAATGACTGGAGAAGATGAGCATAGCCTTGTTTGTCAGTTGGACCTAAAGATAACTGCTGTGTTTCATTCCTCCTTTAGAGGCCTGCATGCTCTGAAGATCTTCCAAGTTGCCACATTTGCTTGATCCATTATTTAGCAAAAAGGGTCTGAGTCCTGGAAATTGGGTGGTGACTGTATCATTGGCTCTGGTGAAGGCTTATGTTAGCATCTCCAACCCTTACGTTGTATTTCTCTCTTGCCATGCAGCAGTTGATCCCCTGCATTTGCCTCCAACCCCTCCCAGCAGTCATGGCAGTGACTCTGAGGGAGGGCAGAGCCCAGCTAGATCTCTCCCTCCTTCAAGCCCAATCCAGCTGCAAGCCGCAGCTAAAGTGGCATCACGCACAGCTTCAGCACTCTCCAATTCCCCTCTCCTGACTGCACCACATGTAAGTTGAGCTGTTTTTTTTTTAACATCTGTCAGTTGTTTTTTTGTGTGTGTGTTTTTTTTTTTTAATGTGTGTGTGTGTTTTTGTTTGTTTTGCTTTTTTTGCTTTTAAATTACTGTTTTTGCCATACATTTGCTAATTTCTGTTGTTCTTTGAATGAACCCGGCTCTGATCAAAACTGCATATCCAGTAATTCTTGTTCATTTATCTATCCTGGTCCCACAGGGAATGATGTGTGCCTCTCTAACTGAGACAGGGTTGAGCACATTTATGAGGTTTCTTCCAGTCTGGATTGTGTTTTACATTAGGACCCAGCCCTACTGGGTTAATTTGTCCCTAATACATCTACATCTGTTTTCTTGTTGCTATGTCTTGGAAATCAAGTGGTGATTTTTAGGGAGGGATTTTCAGCACTGTTTCTCATTTGTCTCCCTGCTTGAGCCAAAAGAAGCTTTACTGGTGGCCTCAGTATGTTCAGAGCTGGGCTGAAAGCATCTCAGTCTCTAAGTGGAAGCTACGTAAAAGGTCTTCACCCTCCATTCCTTCCAGTTGAAAGATACTGCTGAGTTAGTGTGCAGAGACTCTGTTCCTTTTCTCTGGGGCTGTGTGCACTGTGTTACATTTCTTCATTTCTATGACACTTGCAGAAATTGCAGGGGACTGGTCCACTCATCCTGACAGAGGAGGAGAAGAGGACGCTGATAGCAGAGGGGTACCCAATCCCTACCAAACTGCCCCTGACAAAAGCAGAGGAGAAAGTGCTGAAGAAAATCCGCAGAAAAATAAAGAACAAGGTAAATAATGTTCATTTAGCACCTTTGCTGGGTAATTCCTACTCAGCCTTCATTTAAAAATGTTGCAGTGTTTCAGTAGCAATGACCCGTAGTACTGCTGAATGCTGTAAGATGTCTTTTAACGAAGTATTTTTCTTTGTTCCTAAACACATCCATCACACTGTGACAGTGCCTGTCTGTCCAGGTATTTACCTGAACACATAAACAATGGGGTATTTAGCAAGCAGGGTATCAAGTTGCTGTTGCCTGGCTCCATTTTAAAAACTGTTCAGTCCTTTCCCTTATGAATTGGCAAAGACTTGTGTGTTCTTTCCATAGTGTTGAAGGTGTTCTTTTCCATAATTTCATGTTTTAAAGTCTGACTTTGTATTTCCTTGCTCTGGTCTTCTGATCACAGAATTCCTCGACTTCTAAATGAATAGTTGACAACAAGGCTTTGAAATGCCCTTCAAGTCTTCTCTTTCTCCCCAAATGGCAAAGAGTTCATGGAGGAAAGCATCTTTTCAGACTTAGCCAACTCATTCTGGAGAATATTAGCACACCTTTGAAGGCTGATGCATTCTGTTACTGATTTTGCTCACAGAGGTGTAAATTTGCCCACACTGAATTGAAATGTGGTCTATTTTTTTTTTTTTTTCCCAAAAAAACCTGTAAAGTTTCCTTGCAACTTCCTTCCTCCATCGTTTTATCATGCACATTATTAGAGACATTTGTACTGGGGGGAAATTGCTAGAGGCCGTTTGGTCGAACTCCCTGCTCTGAATGCAGAGTAAGCTTAGATCAAGTTACTAAATGGCTTGTCCAGTCATGTTTTGTTGTTTGAGTGATGCGTCCCCAGCTTCTCTGGGCAACCTGATCCATATGAGGCTGCTTTTCTGGATAAAAAATAAAATACAATCTTATCGTTTAATTGGAATTTCCTTTGTTGCAACTTGTATTTGATGTTCTTGTCATTTTGCTGTATACCTCTGAGAAGGTTGACTTAATCTTTGCTACAGCAATAGGATTCCCTCCTTATCTTTTTTAAATCTGAACAAACCCAGATTTCTTTGCCTCTGTTGATACACCATGTGCTCCAGCATAATTACTGTAGCAGAGACTGTCCTCTGGACTTGCTCCAATATGTCCGAAGTATTTATTTCCAAGTCCCAAACTTCACATGGTTCTCAGCTGTGGTCTTGCAGGTGCTGAGTAGCTGGGAAGATATACTTCTCTTGACCTACTGGCTACACTCTTGTAACATAGCTCAGCTCTGGTTGATGTTCTTTGCTATGGGGGCATATTGCTGATTTATGTTTGACTGATTGTCTATCAGAATCCTCAAGTCTTTTTCTGCAAAACTGCTTTCCAACGTATGCATGGGTTTTTCTTTGACCAGAAGCAAGACTTTCTCTTGGCATTGTCTTTTAGTATTTGTGCTAGGATATTCTCTGCAGATTAATCTGATTTGCTTTTTAAGGTTAATTTTGTAAGAGCAGCGAGTGATCTTTTTTCTACTACTGAGAGGAGCTGTCTTGCTTCAGGATGTGGAAATGGACCAAGACATTGCTTTGCTTGCCAAGAATAGGAATGAGAACAGCACTGAAGCTTGAATCTAATAATGTCAGGCCTTTTTACTAGTTTATTAATTCATCTCTGCTGCTTTTTTTTTTTTTTTCTTTTCAAATATTTGTTATTTTGCTTCCCTTTTCCTTAGATCTCTGCCCAGGAAAGCAGAAGAAAAAAGAAAGAATACATGGACAGTCTGGAAAAAAAGTAAGCCAGCCCCCTTCCTGTTTCAAATGGGCCAATAGCACTAGTTGCTGAAATGGGAAGGGATCCAGCTGTTGATTCTGGGACTGTTCTGTGCACAAAGTTCCAGCTGCCATCTCGTGGTTGTGACTGAGAAAAGGCCCTTCTTTAGTTTGCTTATACATTTGCTGAGGTGCTGCATACATGGTGGTGCATGTTGTGGCTATGCCTGCCACCAACACATAGCTAATGTGCTGGCAAAGACCTTAAACCTTAAAGAAGACAAGACCTATCTACTATTAGCCTTCCACTCGGGCAAATGTCCTAGTCTAGTGGATAGGCATTGCCCATGGAAAAGTAGGGTTAGGGTGAATATAGTGTCTTCTGGTACAGATGTAGACAGAAATAGGAAGTAAGTGAGCAAAGACTTCCTGGGAGAATAAGTAGGGCTCATAGAAAGAACATGTGACCAATTGCCTTCCTTTAGCAAGAAAAGGCCAACCCCTCAGTTAGTGATTTATATCACAGTTTAATCTTTCTTGTAAGAAAGAAGTGTTCTGGTATTTTTCTTATGCACTTCACCAGAGGGATCTGCTAAAACCCATGTACCATTTTTTGTGATACCCTCGAGGTAATTTCCTTTTGTTCAAATCTTTTTATGGATGAGCCTTGATTTCTCAGAGTTAGACTCTTGTGAAATTCTAGCATATTGGTACAGATACGAAAGCATTTCCCTTTCCCTTTTTCCTCACACAGCTATTCAGAGTGGTCATATGTGTCTTATAGGAGTCCCTTATTTTATTTTGACTTCTTGTGTAGCAGGTCATATGAAAATATCCTTTAGTTTAGGTGGGTTTCCTGGGACAGTGAAGAAAGAAGTACTCTCTTGGAAGTAAATCTTCTGGCTTATTAGCCTCTATAAACATGAAAGTCAAGGATGTGATTTCAGAAGCATGGCATTTGTTGAATTATTTAGTGTGGTACCTAACAATGAAATGCACACGTAGAACACTCTTGAGCAAAATAATTGCTAACAATATGATCAGAGCATATTCAGTGACATATCTGTCTTGTGGTCTGATGCACAGAGAAAGTCATAGCAGGGTCTTCCTTATTTTTATTTCAAGGAGTAAAAAGTTGTTACAGACCACCTGAATAAACTGGACCTATTGGGGTATAGTTGACTACGATAGGCAGATGTTCTATAGCTAGTAGTATCTATTGCAATGCCAGCAACACCATGAAGCAGGATTAAATGTTATGACTGAATTTAGTTGGTGTGACTTTTTCATTAGATGTAGGAAAAATCATAGAGCTCTCTGTGAAAGTAAATTTGGGTTGTTTTACAAGTTTTTGAATGTAAAAAACAGTCATTTATTAATCTTTCCTTGTGTTGTCTCCAGAGTTGAGAACTGTTCAAACGAAAACAGTGAGCTACGTAAGAAGGTTGAAGTCCTGGAAAGTACTAACAGGTACAGTATGAAGGGAATAGAAAAAAAATAAAATAAAAAATAAATAGAGCACGACAGTAAAAAAGTAAAATCCAGAAATTAAGACATCACTTGAAATGTGAAGAATATCTGTATCTGATTTGGTTAATGTCAAAGAAAGATGATGGAGAGTTGTTATTGTGACTGTGCAGTGCGATGTAAGACGTAGGGGCTTTGATATCGGCTCTTAAACTGTCTTCCTAGCCTGTGGTGTGTTTACCTTTTACTACCCTTCTTTGTGTTCTTCTTTTGCACAAGGTAACATGATTAGTTAATGATAACAAACAAAAAAACTGCAGCCCAGCTCTCCAAATTGTCCTTTGTCAGTGAAAGTCTGCTTTGACAGGAGGCCTTGACCTGGAACGTGACACTTTGAGAACTTTGTTGCTTAGTTGCTCTGAGTCAATGTTAGTTTATTCTGGACTGTTAGATATCATTGCAATTGTTGAACACTGTTCTGATCATCTGACACACCATTAATATCTTTCATTTTAGGAAATACAACCTCCTTTGTAAAGATAATCAGTTTCTCATTTCTTCATTTCTGAAGAAAGAGGTGTCTCAGTGGTAACTTTTTCAAAAGATGTACAGCAGAAAATTATCTATAGCTGAGCTTTGAATTGGATATTAGCCAAGGGTGGAGTGTTAGTCATGGCTTATGCTCAGTGTGTTCTCTAATAAACACAAGTTCCAATGAGTAGGTACTAGATGAGCCCACTGTTAATACCTTCTGCTTAAAAGCATTTGAAATGATGGTTGCATACTGCCACTATACATGTTGGTAGCAGTGAAGTGTGAGAGAAAGCTGAATTTTATAGATAAGACTCACAGTCATGAAAAATGGCCCTAAAGGTTGTCTGGCAGCCAGTGTATTGCTAATTGAGTGGCATGTGTTGTTTCTAATCTCTGGATCCAATCTCTAATTTCATGGAGCGAGACCCTCTAGCACTGTCATTTGCTAGGGAGTGTCTCCCACACACTGCTCATGCATACAGACATCTGCTGCTTGTTTGAAGGGAGCCAATCCATTTCTGTCCCTCCTGTATCTTCCTGCAGGGTTTTACATAAAAGAGCTAGAGTTGTTCTGTAGGTGTTGAGTAGAGTTGTCTCTTTCAGAATCTGTTCCAGGAGGTACTAAAACCAGCTGCTATGAGGAAGAGTGCAGCTGTGAATGACCACTCAGGGAAAACCTGTTCTCAAGCCTTAAATTTTCTCCCTAGTTTGGCTAAATTTGGTCAACTTTTTACATCTCTTGAGCAGGTGAAGATACAGTCATGAGAACTGCTCTGTTAATATTTTTCAGTTTTTCAGGCAAGGCCTTTATCATCTTCTTTGTTATTTTATTATCTTAATACCCTAATGCTCACTGCTTTAAAATTATTTAGCTGTCTGTGTGATATTATCCCTCATACTCAGAACATATGCAATGAGTTGCATTGTTTACTTTCCTATGCAAGAACACTGATAGTGATTTGCAGTGTCCTGCAGAGAAGCAGTTGTTCCTGACCGCACAAAAATTCTTGTATCTCAACAGTGATGTTGGTTTGGGTATTTAGTAACAAACTGTACCTAAAAACTGCTAAGGCTGCAAATTTGAGTACTGAAAAATTTGTAGAAGTTCCTGCTTTCATCAAGCCTGAATTATGTAACACCAAATTGTGGTGTTTTGTTTTGGTTTTGTTTGGATTGGTTTATTTTGCTTTTATGATATCACCCCAAAGAGCCACTTTCTCTCTTTTTAGTATGTGGCTGTGTTAACTTGTTCAGAGAATGGTTCCAGACCCTTTCTAAATGTACGTCAGTTGCTTCCTACATTGAATTCAAAATGACTGGTTTCCTCATTGGTACAGAGCCTTGATGTGTCATTCAGAAGCCATGCAAATGTTTCAGCATCCTGTGACTGGTACTTCCATCTCATACTTAGGCAGGAATCAAAGCTCATAAGAAATGAAGGTCAGACTGTGCAGTGTCAGTTTATTCTTGGATGCCCAAATTTAAACACTTAGGACCTTGTTTTTCTAAGTTCCTAGCACACAGTCACGCACACATGTAACTAATTTAATATGCCAAAAGCTTGAAACCAGTTGACTTCAGCTGCAGCTTTGAGCATTTAATGCAGTAAAAAAATGAAGACTTCTTTTAAGGTTTCATTTAAAAGTAGATCTACAAGCATTATAACTGCTTTTTATTTGCGAAAATCGGAAGACTTGAAAAAGATAACAGGAAAATAACACTGTGATTACACATGGAAATGCTCATGCATTCAGTGTGGATGAAGTCAAAGTTGTTGTGCTGTTTTGTTTTTTTTTTTATGTTGTTGGAAAATTGGGCTGTAGCTGCTCACTTAAAAGTTTATGCGCATATATGTGCAGTCAGTGTTGTGTTTTTATAGTCTGGCTGGAGTTGAGAGAAACTGACAGGCAATTCCCTAAATATACAACTATTAAACACCAGAGTTTTCCTTCTGTATCTGAAACCAGTATTTCAGAGCATGTTGCTATTCTATATATAGAACAAATTTTGCACAGATACATACCTAGGACTTCAGGGAAACCCTACTTATATTTTGAAGTCTGGCTCCAAACCATGGAAGCACTGCAATTTCTTCTGCTAAAAGAGTAGTATGAAAAATTTTAGAAGAACCTTCCCTGAGAGACTGCCTTAGCCTGAAATCCTGGATCTGAAAAGATTTGATGTAAAAGGTGCAAATGTGGTCCAAAAAAATTGCATCCAAAAGTATCTTCTTTGCCTTTCATATATCTTAAAAGGAAGGCAGGAGTCTGGGGATCAAGATGCAGGGGAGTTTTTAATTCTCATTAATGTGAGTGGGTGTCTGCAACATTTTTGGCTTCTTCGGTATTAGAACACTAGCATATGTTTCCTCTCCTAATTTAAGTGACTCAGTCTCTTACAAGACACCCATCCAAGTTCCTTCCAAAGGAGTTTTCTCAAAACTACAGGAACACATTATTACATGTGTGTTTGTTATGTCTTGTAGTCACAAGTGAGTCAGGATCTCATTGGCTTTGGGGCACTGCTGTCTTAGAAGGGTGTGAAAAAAGCTGGCATCAAGACTTGAACTGACTTGTCTCCCTTGCCAAGAAGGCTTGATCCATTCATCTAGTGACACTGGGACTTCACAGAAACTGCCATTAGTCTAGGCTTTGATTGTGCTCCATGACATCAGGGTTGTCTAGCTGGGAGCAGTGGCTATTTGAGCTTAAAGACAGTATTGAAACACCAGGTATTATGTGTATGATGTGTGAGAAGTACCTTTGTTTTTCATTTCTATTAAATCTGTATTTATAAATATATCGATGGCCACTTTTCTTTTGGTAGGAAGAAATAGGTAGAAATAGGAATTAGCATGTGATTGAGAGTGTAAATGTTGAAACACATGAATAATGCATGCACGTAGCTGCTAGAGTTGCTCTGGTGAAGTAATGACTAGTAAGTTGGGCACTCTTGACAAGTATCTCAAAGGCTTTATAAATACAATTGGGATGTTTTTGCAGTGCTCCTGCTCCTGCTTAAGCCATTGCTGTAACTCCCAGTCAAACTGAATCGAGTTTCAGTCTGACCCACAAGGGTTTATCAGCACCAAAACCACCAGACCTCACTCATTTACATGGCTGTTCCTTCATTTGAGGTTGATAAGTCTACTTTGACAAGTCTTCTTCAAGAAGAGAAGGATCTGGATTTAAGTTATGATGAGACGTCTTGCACTTCATACAGCCCTGGAGCAACTCTTGTTTTTTAAGCATCAGGACAATGTTCTTATGCTGAAGTGTCTGATGAAAAAAAAATACTGGGTTTTCATGTATGTAATTCAAGTGAGAAAATTAGTGGATTTGTTTGTTTTGCTCTGGAGTACTGTGATTTTTCAATGAAAACCTTAACTTTATAGGACAGGCAGAGGAGTAACTTACGTGTAAAGCTGGAAGAGAACGTTTTTTTTTTTTTCTTTTTAAAATCAAAGTTAAGTTTTGTTCCTCAAAATACTGCTTTGAGGAGTACTATATTGAGGAAGCCTCCCTAGGTGACTAGGTCCTGTGGTGACAGATTTCCTCTGCTGACTGAAAATATCACTGGAAGCAAAGGGGAAGCCTTGACTTCTTCCTTAGTCTGGTAGTGAAAAGTGTCCTTCTGAAGAGAATTTTGTGAATGCACACGTGAAAGTAAGACATCATGGGCAGAGTGGATTTGCTGGGAGTGCTGGAAAAGAAAGCAGGAGTCTTCAGTTACTTTACAGTTTTCCTATGAGGTCCTTCTCTTGGCAGGGAAGAGTGTGAAAACACGTTCACACCTCCTGTGGAGGTGACCCTTTAATTGAATATCACTGGGAAATGTGTCAGACATAGTGAAAATAATCCCTGTGGGTACAAAGCCCCTTATGCATGCTGCTTTGGGATTGCATTTTCTCTTGCTAGGATTTAGCCACTGGCAGTATGTTTCATTAAGAGCATTCTTGGTCTTTCTACTAATACTGTACTTCAGAGCAGAGAACAGCTCCAGAGAACTGCTCCTTAGCCTTCTCTTCTTAGTCCAGATCATTCCTGCAGTCATCCAGTAGCAATGAAGGCAGCTTGTGTGTAGGAAAGATCTCTTCACCGTGGAATCCAATCTTCCTCTTCATATATTTCCTCTTCATGTAAAAAAGAACGCTCCCATTTTGATGATGGCAGAGTAAACTTCCATCATATCATATCTGAGCAAATAAATTTGCTTCTTGCTCTCACATCAGCTCTTGCTCCCAGTTTGAAAAATGCCCCTGTAGCCTGTCATCTCCAACCACTGAGCCTCTGTCTGCTGAGAAGATCACAGAAGCTCTGTTCAAGTGACCTGGGAGAGAAAGACGTTCTATGTGAATGTAGTTGGTCAGAAAGGTGGGAGATGTATCTCCTATGAATACCTGCAAAATTATGCTTTTCAAAATGAACATTTTGGAATCAGTGCTTTGGGCCCACTCTTCCCAGCAGGTTTTTTTAATGGGACTCAAAATGGCAGAGATGAGCAAAACTACATGTTCTCTCTATTGATATTCTCACCAGCCATTAGCTGTTTTCTCACTTATGCCTCCACAAAAAGTGTCGAGAGTGATCAACATTTCAAGTTTGCAGCCCCCAAGCCAAGGAGGAGGAGGAGAGCTCCTTCCTTCTCTTGCCACACAGCTCTTCTCTGTCAAACCCAATGATCACAGAATCATAGAAACACCAAAGTTGGAAAAGACCTACAAGATCATCCAGTCCAACCAACCACCTATCACAATAGTTCTCACGAAACCACGTCCCTCAACACAACGTCCAAACGTTCCTTGAACACCTCCAGGGTCGGTGACTCCACCACCTCCCTGGGCAGCCCATTCCAGTGCCTGACCACCCTTTCAGAGAAGTAGTATTTCCTAATGTCCAGCCTGAAGCTTCAGGTAGTTATGGAGAGCATTAAGGTCTCCCCTGAGCCTCCGCTTCTCCAGACTGAACAATCCCAGCTCCTTCAGCCACTCCTCATAAAGCTTGTGCTCCAGACCCCTCACCAGCCTTGTTGCCCTTCTTTGAACCCATCCCAGGAACTCAATGTCTTTCTTGCAGTGAGGGGCCCAGAACTGGACACAGTACTTGAAGTGCAGCCTCACCAGTGCTGAGTACAGGGGGACGATCACTTCCCTGTTCCTGCTGGCAACACCATTCCTGATGCAAGCCAGGATGCCATTGGCCTTCTTGGCCACCTGGGCACACTGCTGGCTCAGCACTGATCAGGCTGCAGGGGATTTAGTCTTTCATAATAGCACAGAAATGGCAGGGCTAGAAAGGCATTGCTATGTAACATAACATATGGTGGGATTACTGTATGTAGTATGTATTGTGCCATGAAATGAGATATTCTCTGTATGTAAATCTGTGTGATCCCTGAGCAATGAAGTGGGTAGGAGGGAGAGACTTCCAAGAGATGTTAGCAAAGAAAAGGGTGTTAGAATAGTCTCATTGACATGATGGATGTTGTTTTCATCTCTTAATTTGTCTGTGGTCTATAACGGCGAATGAAAGACTCAATTAGACACATCAATTTCTTCTTTTTAATACTGAACTGTAGAATAAACTGGGTTCTCAAGAGCATGCAATGCATCCTTCCTTAATAAGCTGGAAAGGGTCTGCTGGCCCAGATAAATCTGTGCTGTGAGTATGCCTTGTGCTCATTTCAGAATGCATTCCCGAAGTCCTTGAATGCATTAAACTCTAATTAGCAATGATCATTGATGATTAAAAAAAGCCTATAATAATAGGAAGACAAGTGTATATTGAGCTATAAAGGCACCTCTGGGTTTGTCCTACAATTAGCTTTTAGCAAGTTTGATCTTAAAATATTCTTTCTATTTTCTCTGACATCCTAACCTTGCCTCTTGTTCTAGCATTTGACGTCATGGTCTCCAAAATTGTTGCCTGGAGTTTTATGGGGGTTACCCTCAGAAATAGATAGTGAGGCTTACATAAGAAGCAAAAAGTAGAATTGGAAACAGCAAAGTCAACGTCTTGATGCAACACTGCATGATATTTGACTGTATCAAGGACAGGTGTTTGGGTTATTCTTTCTCTGTTAGAAAGCTCGAATGAAAGTAAAATGGAAACTTGTGAAAACCCAGTGCCAATTATTCTTTGGGATCATTTCCCAATTAAATGATAATATCCTGACTGTAGCCATTGATGATGCTATAGCAAAAGAAAATCAGCAATGAGGCAGAAGAAAACCCTCCCAGTCCACAACAGTTGACTCAAACCAGAAGAAAATTACCATTGTGGTTGTTACCTCTGAAAGGCACGGTCAGAGTAGCTGCTTCAAGCAACTGTGGTTTTTGTAAACTCCTGTAGGATTTAGCAAATAGCAATGAAATACTTTATTTAGCAAATGAATTTATTGGAAATTAAGTCTGTGCTTTAAATCCCTTTCTTTTAAAAAGGTTCAATTCACTGTACAGCGAGTTTTCAGAGGAAGGGTGTAGAAGTATACTTCTACCACCAGCAATTACAAGCTTGCTTTTGCACCATTTCAAGTAACTGTGAAACTCATGCTCAATTCATAATACAGAACCAGGCTGTATAAGCAGTCACTCACTTGCACATAGAGCAATTCCTGTTGTTCACACACGTACTAGAATTTCCTAGAGAAAGTCTGAAAATAGTTTTTTATTTATAAGAGCTGTCTGTATAAGGTGAAGAAGTCATTGTTCGGGGATGTCAGCCGAGGAAAAGGCAAAAGATCTTTTTTGAAAGATCCATTGCTTGCTAATCCATGCAAGAATTTTGTAAAAATTAGTCTCATTCTTTACTTCTAATTTCAAGGGAGGATTTTAATCATTTGTATCTTATTGTAACTGCGAAATGTATTATTGCCAGATGTAGAATTTGTAGTAAAAACAAGTAGATCAGGACATCTGATGCTCACATCTGTTGTCTTTGCTTTCCAGAACACTTCTGCAGCAGCTGCAGAGACTCCAGGCCATGGTTGCTGGGAAAGTGTCCCGTTCATGTAAGGCAGCTAGCACACAGACAGGGACCTGTCTTATGGTGAGTACTCTCTAAACCTGGGGATTGTAGAGAAGTGAGGTTTACTGTCCACTGTTCAAAAGCACAGCCCCAGTTCTGCTAAGCCCCTCACTTACAAATTCTCAAGTTGGGAAATTTCTCTTGATAGTTTAACACTTCATTCTGAGAGAGGTGAGACTTCTGACTCATGAAGGGAAGGCATTAAATTGTGTTGGAGACCATGCCTGTGTTTTTGCTGGGCTGCTGCAGTGCAGAAGGGAGCAGCTCTGCTCCTCTGGGTGACCTGTTTTATTATTTCCTACATTTTTTTTTTATGTTGGAAATGGTCTAGTGCTGTCAAATGAAAATGAGGGTGCCCTTTGATTTTCAGATTTTAGATAGCAGTAAAAATAAACTTTGAAATCTGAATAAAAATATGACTAAGGCTGTAAATCTACGTCTGTTCTATTTCAGTAATGTCTGTCAGGATAAGAAAAGGGTTAGAATGAAGCTCTTCCTTCCTTACACCCAGCCAACAAGTTCCCTTCATGCTAGTGCTATAAATTGATGGAAATTATATTCAAGGCCTTTGCTGTTCTCATCGGCTGCCAGCCTCTCTGTCACTTTTAAGCAAGACTGGGGCCAGCAGCAGAAATAACCTTGGAAATTCCCAACAGTATCTGTAAAACACACATGCCAGTTGTGTCTGCTTTTCAGCTTTGGGAAGAAATAAGGCAAGAGGCCAAAATGATGTCAGACACTGAAAACAAACTCCAGCATTAAAGCGCCGAATTTGTTCTTGTATCTGTGCCTTTACTAAGAGGTGCTGTAGGTAGTAACAAAAATAGCCTCAAGTACCTGTTTTGATAACGTATCAGATCTGCTTTGTGTCACTTCTTTGTTTTGATGCAGATGTGGCACTGAAGGACCTGGTTTAGCAGGCATGGTGGGGATGGGCTGATGGTTGGACGAGATGATCCTAGTGGTGTTTTCCAACCTTCATGATTAATTAACCTCTTTCTTCTTTTCCCCATGCCAGATGGTGGTGCTGTGCTTTGCAGTTGTTTTTGGCAGCTTTTCTCAGAGCTATGGACCATATCCTTCTGCTACAAAGATGGTGTTGCCCAGGCAGCATTCCTCGCCAGAGTCCTACACAGACTCCATTGGTAAGTGACCACCACCAATGTCTTATTTCTTGTTTGGTTGCTCTTCAGCACTTGGTTTTCACCCCCATCCCCAAAGCCCTCCCCAAGCACCTCTTGCTCTTCTGCTACTTAGATGGCCATATCTTGATATATTTGTGGTTTTCAGATGATATCTTGGCAAGTTATGCTGATGGCAGCAGACTTAATATAGCAAAGCCTTTCCCCACCAATCTGCTTTGTACTTCAGTTTAAAGCCTTTCTGTTTTTGTTTGAGGAACTAAAGAACTAGTCTGTAAAAGGTAGCAGGAGAGCTTGATTTCTGCTCCTTACTACATATTCATACTGTCAGTAAGTGCAACTATCAGCTGCTATTTCTTTTGCCAGTGTTATGTGAGTGTCTAAGGACTGAATGGGAAGCTTAGTAGTACATAGCAGTTAAAAAGTGGTAGCATTAAACCTGTATTATTAAAGTGATTACTTCATTTTGCTCTTGTTCTCTGAAGAGTTCAGAACTTTTTTGATCCCTACCTGGACCATTGCTGCAGTGTCTTCCCACAGCTATCAAACCACCAATTAATCATGATGAAAAGACCTTTGCAGCTCTAGTTCTGCTCTGATGATTTCCATTTCCTGAGATGACCAGGGCTGCACTCTTTGACCTGCCTGTTTCTCATCTCCGTTTTGCTTTCTGTCTTTGCATCCAGTGAGGTCACGGAGTCTGCTAATTTATGAAGAGCCTCACCAACTGGAGGAGTCGTCAAGCCCAATCTCATCTGCAGATCGAAACGACAGGCATGCAGACACCACCAAGTACTCAGCACTAGCTCTGGAAGCTGTGCCGGTGGTGCAGCGGGATGATATCATGGAGTTCACAATAGCCAACGAGACACGGCTAGAGAAATCAGTGCTTCTGGGCCTACAGCAGCACAGGTGAGTGCATGGGGGACTGCTTGTGAGTGAGACAGGTGTTTGAAGTCTCTGTCATGGAGGCCTGCAGTAAGATTGTGCTATTTTGGGCACTGTGCAACTTGAAGTCTGACAGATTGGTCTCTGTCTGAGGAGCTTATAGGCAAAGATACTGTCACCCTCTTTTGGAGAAATGGTTGCAATAATACTTTAGTAACAAAGCTACTGAACTCAGTGCTAGCCCCTGTAAGCCTGTTAGTTTTGCCTCCTCCACTTCTTTAAGCACTTATGTGCATGTCCCCTAAAGGAGTAAGCTTTTGCCATTCGGGTGGAAGTGTGAGGCTGTGACTCATGGGGCTTTGTAAGAAGTTAGGGTGTGAAGAGCTTAAACTTCCCACAGCAGAAATCTTACTAATGCATGCTGTGGAAAGTTAGCAGGATTTGACTTAGAAAACAAACTTGTCAGGTTATCTGAACTGCTAAACATGGAATTCTTTCATAATTTATTTTTTTTATCATAAATTTATATTTGGGTCCTCTGCAAAGAGAGATTCACTGGTTAAATATATGAGTGCAGTTTTTCTTCCACTGTACCTTTATTTGTCCTGCCACTGTTCTGTTGCCTCAGGTCTTGGTCTCTGCTTACAAGCAGTAGCAAACACACTGAACAGTTTGATGCATTTAGAGGAATGCTTTTCAGAGGTCTAAGTTGAGTGATGTCACCCAAGAATGCCTTCTGAACACTTGTATCAGAGTTATACCAGGGCCAAAGAGATGACTAATTCAGTGTGTTATCATACTCCAACTGACAAGTGCCTGTTAAAATGCTGAGTGCCTTTTTTTGCATTAGCCAATTTGAGCAGGATGTGCACTTTTAAATATGACTGTTAGTGTTAACCTTTGTTGTTGCTTTTTTTTTTTTCCCCTACAGAGTCAACTCTGAAATGGAAGGAAATGAAACACTGAAGATAATTGAAATAGATAGAAGAGTCAATGCCACCTCTTAAAAATAAAAAGGCCTTTTTTCTTGATTTCCCTCTTTCCCAGATATTTTCAACCAAAGTCCCCCTGACTTGTCATCCTTAGTGAACCAAAGCACAAAAGAGGGAGTTGACCAAATTCTGCATTGACTGGTGAGACTGTGACTGCAGATGGAATCTGTTGTCTTGTGACTCCCTTTCTTACTTCACACAATCCCTATATTTGCTTTTATTTCTTTCCTGTCTGGTAATACAAGGGCAGGGTTGAATTATGACTGCAGATGATAGCAGCAGTGTGCTGATGATTGATCTGTGTACGTGTGTCAGTGCTTGCATGTATACATCATCATCTGTGCATAAAGTCATTGGGTAGAAGAGTGGAATATGCAAAACTGATGGGAGCAAGTGGTTGATGGGTTTCTTGGGAGAAGGTAACTAAGAGAATTAGGAGAGGCAGTGTGATGATGCCCAACTTTAGTCATGGTTCTATGCTCACTGGTCTGTAGCACTTGAGCCTTTTTGGGAGGAGTGAGAAGCATAAGCTTCATCTGCCTTTAAAAGCACAAGAATAGGCCCTAATACAATTTTGTTTATAGCACAGGCAGTAGAGATATGGACAGTGACAGTGCTGAATCATCCTCCCCTACATCTTTCTCTCTTCTCCTCACCAGCCCCTATGTCATTTAGTGGAACAGGTTTCTGTTTGCACTGGAAGCAAACGTGGTAGGTGTCCCTACTGCTTCTACCCTTATGGAATTCAAGCAAAGATCCATCACTGTCTTGTCACAATGTCTGGGACACATGGAGTAATTTGACTGATTCTGTTTAGAAAGCAGGTTTTGTTAACTTCAGGCAGTGTTTTGGGTGGATGTTCCTTAGTCTGCTAAAGGCTAATCTGTTTAGTTCAGATCAATTCCTTCCCAATAAACTAAATCAATGTTAAGTCTTAAACCAGAAGTGCCTCCTGAGAGGACCATATGGATTTTATTTATTGGCTTCTAGTTGC